CGAGGCTTGTCTGGGTTCTGGCATCCTCCCAACTGTGTGTGTTTCGTTATCTTTTGGAAGTCTGCAATTCCTTATCCTGCCCTGTCTCGTTAATTGCTGCAGCGTGGTTTGTGGGGTTTTTTATTTATAATTTATATGTACTTTGGGTTCGGACTGAATTTCTTCCTTTTAAAGAGTGTTCTTTAAAGGAGAGTTTTTTCTCCAGCCGAAGATAACTGGACATTGGGGGCCAAGTTAGAGGTATTATTAAAGGGACTTTACTTACTTTTGTGACTTCGTTGCTTCTGTGCCATGCCCTGGGTCATCACAGTATTGTTTTATTACACTTCAGCTGTTTTAACTATATTTCAATGATTTTTGTTTTTAATGGTTTTGTTTTTGTTATTTTTAATTGTGTATGTCACTCAGTCTCATATATGTGAAATGGGTAGCTACATAAACTTCATAAATAAATACCTTAAGTTGGTGGCAATCATATGCCAAATTCAAATGAAGAATGCCAGATGCTGGCAATTCAGTTGTTCTGGCACAATCTCTGCTTCAGATAAATGACCATCAGTGTTTTGGTCTGGCCGTGGCTGTGAGCTTCTACATGCATCTAATTGGCTCCTCCGTGGCACAAAATATTGCGCCAGAGAACATTGGCCTGATGAAGCACATCACAATCAGCAGATGGCCTTGTGGGCTGAAGCTGAGCTTCGTTATAAATTTTGCAAAATTTTTCTACTCATTACAATTCCACAGAGAGCATCACGAAGATTTTAGAAAACAGGATTGTATTTCAAAGATCAAGGAATTATGCACACTAAAAAAATGGAGCAGTAATAGATGACTGGAAGATGTTCCTAAACTGACAACTTCCAGTATACTTGCACATACATGCTTGGTCATTTCCAGTTCTAGGGGGGGCAGGTGCTCATCTGTATTACAAAGCCAGCACTGTCCGAAGACATCTCCGTGGTCATGTGGCCAGCATGACTAAACCAGGTCTGGGATCCCACCGGGGAGTGCATGTTTCACAACAAAAGAAGGCCCAGCCAATCAGCGGGGACTTGGGAGGCAGAGAAGAGATGGGAGCGGGGCCAGTCAGAGGTGGTATTTGCCAGTTCTCCAAATTTTACTCAAAATTTCCACTAAACTGGTCAGAACCTGCTGAATACCACCTCTAATTTGAGGGACTTGCCCGTGTAGATGCATGTATTGCTTCTGTGTGTTTCTGCTCTCTCCTGGTGTTGTGTTTGTGATTATCTCCATGTGTGCATGCTCCATTCTGGATCTTGGCAACATTTCAAACTGCTCCCCATCTGCTTCTCCCATTAAGATGCAAAAAGATTCCATCTCACCCACCCCCCAAAGATTCCGTTCTGCAACCCGCAACCAGATCTAATTTAATTTTTTAGCTTGATCTTTATTTTGCTAGTTTATTCTGCCAGACAAAATTTAGTCTCATTTCAATCTGTTTTTGAACAGATAAAAGCACAGAAAGAATCTCAAAAACCTTTACACATTTTCTTTGCAACATTCTATTGTCTCGGAAAGGATAAATGTGTGCATGGAGAGGAAATAAAAACCCAAGTCAAGAAATTCTTCGAAATTGATATATTTGGATTTTGGGGAATATCTTAAATTAAGAATGTTAAGAAAACACAAGAAAAAGCCTGAACAAAAATTCATTTCTTTACTGGATATTTCCAAATCTTTTGGGGGGGACAGGCCAATAATTATCAGTAAATACTATAAATGGGATATGGATGAAGCTGCTTAAATAACTGAAGTTGACCTGATATCTGAAATAGAATTAAGATTAAGCATGGAATATTTGCTTTGTCCTGGGAGAGGCCATATGTTCTGGAATTTTTGGTGAACAATTTGGGGAGACACGGGGTACAGCAGAAACAAAACCTAGAATATTTTGGTTGTTTGGGATACTGGAAGAACTAGTTCTGGAGCAATCATGGGAAGACTTCGGAGAAGATGCCTTGAAATACTGTGGCCAGCCAAGAAAACAAACAAATGGCTCATCAACTAATTCAGAATTCTCACCAAAGGCAGAAATGACCAGGTTCAAATTATCCATACTTCAGATACATTATGCAAAGACCGAGTTCTCTTAAGAAATCTATAATGCTGAGAAAGGTGGAAAGAAAGGAAGGAAGGAAGGAAGGAAGGAAGGAAGGAAAGGCATAATTAGCAGCCAGGTGGAGGGAGTAAGGGATGGCTGCACTGCTAGGAATAGATCCAACTACGTTATCACTATGTGGCGGCACCAACTTGATACACACAATCTTAGCTACATGTCTATGGAGATTATCAGTCATCCAGGTCACGGTTGTCCCAAAGGTGTTCCTTTCAGAACTGGGAGGCACTCAGAACTGAGGAAGCTTTTTGAATGAGAAGTGAAACGTCTTCAAGGAAAACAAAGTCCAGTTGCCTTATGAAAAAACACCTTTGGGATAAACATAAACGCACAAGCTCAAAATGGGTTTTGTAAGCCATGATTATAAACCCTAACGTCAGGGGTGGGATTCAGATGAACTGGATGTTAAATTTACATCTGGTTTGCCAAACTGGTAGTTGAACTGACCACCTTTCCCCTCCCAGGAGTCTCCACACGGCCCATTTTGGATGTAGGTAAGTGCAGGGTCCGTGCGGAAGCTCTGGCAGGGTGAAAAACAGTCCTGTTTCTGGCTTCCGGAGGGCCTCCTGAGCCTGGGGGAGGCCATTTTTGCTCTCCCAGAGGCCTGAGGGAAGCCTCCGGACTTTGGGGAAGGTGAAAAACAGCCCTCCCAGAAGTTCCAGGAGGCCACGCCTGCCTTGGCCACACCCACCCAGCAGCGAGCCAGTTGCTAGGATTTTTGAATCCCACCCCTGCCTAATGGCCATTGTGATTTTATTGAACAGACCATGTTTAAAACAAACAATGGTTTAGCGCAATGAGTACACCCAGGAAATGAAAGAATTGGTGTTTAGATGATTATACAATTTTCTTTTGTGGTACAGGCAATATGGTATAAAGGGTTAAGATATTGTCAGGGTTCAGCCATGGAAACTCACTCAGGGACGTGGAACTGGCTTTCCTCTCTCTCAGCCGGGCCTACCTCACAGGGCTGTTGCAGGAAAATGGTCTGTATGTCACCTTAGTTTCTGAATGAAAGGAGGGGTGTAAATCTAATAACATTTGACACTGACTTGATGATGCACCATTTTTTCTTTAAAAAGAGCAAGCCAGATGCACATTGCTTCTTCTACCTTTCTACAATTGCGAGTTAGCCTATCTCATTGCACCAGTAGCCTATGTATTTACTTATTTGTTAAATTTATATGCTGCCTATTTGACCATGGGCCTATTCCACGGTGGGATTCTACCAGTTTGCATATATTCTCTAGAACCAGTTGTTAACAATTTAAGCAGTTCGGAGAACCGGTTGTTAGAAGAAATTACTGGCAGGAAGGAAACATTCTGGTGTTGCTTATAGAAACTGCCTCTCTGTTAACCCTTATTACATTCTTGACAGGACTAGACTTCCTGTCTCAGGAACTTCTTGGGAGTTTTTTTCCCTCCTTTGCTGGTACTTTGCTTGTATGGAGTGACCATTCAAAGTTACAATGGCACTGAAAAAAGTGACTGTTATGTCCTTAAGACTGACCAAAGTTCCCAACCAGGTCCGTTCCT